AAAAATATGCAACAAAAAATCTAATAGAAGCAGGTTGAAAAAGTTTTGGTAGGACGTCAACAAAAATGCTTGAAAATTATTCTGAATGATTAACTTAATATTATTTAGTTAATCTGTAGAATTAAACAATAGGATTGCAAGACATTTAGTTTCCTTTTTAAAAACAAATGACATACGACTGTTGATAATATTTTATATTATTCCTCCTTGTGGTGATAAGCAAATATATACATTCACTATGAAGTGATGAGCTATTAAGTTCAAAAATTAAAACTGGTTAATTTTTTAATCAGTTGCTAATTGCTTAAAAAATTTCTGAACATAAAGTTTTTAATATAAAATAAAATTTAAACATGTCTATGTTCAGTATGGAGCACTGAATTTTTAATATTTTTTAAAAAATTTTACTTCTCCAAGTGCTGATAGTGATTTTTTTGAAGAACATATATATATATATGTATATATATATATATGCTGTATTACACTACAAAGATAAAACATAATGGTAAAAAATTATATGTAAATACAACCAAATTTATTCCTAAAATTTTCCAGACATTCATTGTTTCTGGAGTTAGATATGTGTAAATGCAGGTTGCCTCATTACATATAGTGAAGTTTATGATGACTTTTACTATTTTAAATGCAATTATACTTGCTAACAGCTCAAAGATTTAAATTTTCATTTTCAGGAATCTTCTATTTGGTTAGTGCCACCCTACCATCCAGACACTGTTTAGTAAACTTTTGAAACTTACTAAAAGAGGTTTTTAATAATGGTTAGTATCTTTGTGCGTTTCTTTTTCTTTTTTGTAGTCTGTTATATTAATGTGGAGAAACATTTTTGTTGTCGTTTCACCCTCGGAAACTTGAAACTTTCTATATTTAATGACATAATTTCTGGATTTTTGTCCCTAAGAAGTGACTTGAAAAGCAGATAGATTATCTTATTTTTTCTACTCCTCTCCTCTTCTCCCCTTCCCTTTCTTCTGCTCCTCTCTCTTCTAATCCCCTTTCTTAGCCTCCCCACCTCTCCCCTTCACCCTTCCTTCCTTCCTTCCTTCCTTCCTTCCTTCCTTCCTTCCTTCCTTCCTTCCTTCCTTCCTTCCTTCCTTCCTTCCCTCTTCATCACCGTCTTCCTTATTTCCTCCTCCTTCTTCTTCTCCTCCTCCTCCTCCTCCTTTTCTTCCTACATCTTTATTCTAATTCAGGAAATCCCCATAGTTTCATCTGGGGTTTTTCAACAAAGCTTTATTTCACAGTTACATAAAAAGACATTTTAAACATTGCAATCATTTTATGATACAGGAAAGACAATTAAATTTCATCAAATGGTAGCATGTTAATCCTTCCTTTACTTAAAACCAGATGGAAATTTTTATTCATAAGCATCACAAGAAAACAAGTGTATGTTTCAATTTTTATATTTACATATAAATAAAGTTATGGAATATATTCTAGATATTTAAAAATGTTTTTGCCTTATACAAAGGAACAACAGTAACTGCTAATACTATTGAATTAAAAAATCATGTTTATTACAAACTCTTACTAACTATAAGGATTATTAAAGCTTTATGATGGATGAGAAATAGTCTGTGAGAAGATAACTTATTATCCCACAGTAACTTCATTAGTAACAAGGTAAAACTTTCAGAGAAAAACATTGATCAAAAAATAACTGTCAAAATTCAGCTTTTTAAAGGAAAAATTAATGAAAACAGTCATTTGATATTATATAAACAAAACTGCTGGTTTGTTAATAGTTGTTTCATTAAAGTTTTGTTTTGTCAAAGTCTGTATAAAATCTGTAAAGCCTCAAAATTTTATTAGTCTATAAGATCATAATTGGCACCTCCTAAATTTGAGAATATAATTTTCTCAAGATCATTTTAGATTATAAAATATAAAAATACTCAGAACCTTGAGATAGGTAATATTTACCTACCTTACATTTTGTAGCATTCTAAATTGAATAAGATATAAATAAAGGTTTTATGTTTTTATCGTTTGAAATTAAGTATCAAATTATTGAATAGTTCACTCTTTAGCTTATTAGAAAGAAATGTTATAGTGGAATAGACATATGCATTTATGTTTTTTTCCACAAGAAAATCCGTTACTTAGATCATTTTAGAATAGACGATAATGATTTTACATATCTTATTTTTTCAACTAACAAAAATGTCTAAAGATCAAGTTTATAAAAATGTGGGTATTATGAATTATTTAACATTTGGAAAACATTCATTTTCAATGAAACCATTTCAAGCAATTCAACGTTATTCACATCCTATAACTACTTGAAGTGTCAGTGGCATCAAGTTTGACTTTGTTATTTTATCTAATCATTTCTTCTGTTAAATGTTTCAACAGAGAGCCAAGACTAAGTTACCTCAAGACTATGTAATCCTCCCCCTTTTGGAGTCAGATTTTTCCATTTCTCCAGTGTTGTCATCACCATCATCATCTTCATCATCATTATCATCATGTTCTTAATAAGTCCATCTAATAGTAGGTATAAAGCAATAAAAAACACTGTCTCCATATACTGGCTATCAGGTGTCATATAAATTCTTCAATAGAACTACTTCATGAATTTAAGGCCTGTATAATTTAACACATAATAAAAGATGCATAGCAGTACCTGAAGTTAATGGAGATACCATGTATGGCATTTAATCATCACCCGTTACAAATACTAATATACTAACTTATTCACAAACTAATATTATTAAACCAATACCAAAGCTTTATTTAGTTAGCTGGATAACATATCCAGTGTATTTTCTTAAGAATCTGAGACAACTTGTTGAACCAATTGAAAATGGGAAATGTAAAATGAGTCTTAAAAGTATAAGAGTAATGTATAGCTATTGTTAATTCAGTCACCATTTAAATAAAAGTAAAGTAAAAGTAAAGGCCCTCCCGTTGATCATCGAGCGGGCTCGAGCGGGCCCAGTAACGTCTCCATTGGAGACTTTGTTGTTACTGTGTCTGGCATATCGAATACTCTCGGTAGCTTGCCGGGCTCTCAGAGAGGGGCGGAGGAATCGAACTCGGGTCGGCCATGTTGGCTGCGTGCAAGGCAAACGCCCTACCGCTGTGCTATCGCTCCAGCCCATTTAAATAATTCATATAAAATCAGTAACATGAGAACTTGATCTCTCTTTATTACAGTTCAGTGAAAGGTATAAATAGGTCTATAGGTTAGAGAGAAAACCATGTTAATGAGAGCAAAATTCTAAAGGGTAAAATTAAGTTGAGTGAAAATAATGAGCCTGGTCAGTCAGAAGGAGCTTCTTGATTAAATTACAGTTGAGTCACATCCTGAGGTAAAGGTTATAATTGGATTGATATGATGTATAAGTAGAGTCATCAAGACACAAGAGAAGGGATAAGTGAAGGAGAAATACCTCTTAGGTCCTAACAGAAAAAGGTGTGTGTAGAAAAACAAAGAATTGGGATGAAGACTGGAAGAGAAAGGAAGATATTTGATTAAAAGACACCCTGATGAGGAAATACAGGAAATTTACAGGTCAACTCTTTTTTCAAGAGAGAATTATATTAAAATATTTTTCCCATAAGGTATATTACCTTGGTAGTTTTGAACCCTTTTGCAAGGAATAGTTTAGACATAGACTTCATTCTGTTTAAGATTTTCATAACAGAAAATTGAGGATGCAACTCCCAAAACTCAAGATACAACCAGAGTAGGAATAAAAGGCCAAAAATTACAAAATTGGATCTAAAGATATTTACTTACTGTTTAGATGCAAGCGACAGAAAGCTAATTATCTTCTTTCTCCATCATGTAGATGTCTATGTCATATAGATGCCACCTTAATTATATTATTGTTTTAGTATCCAAAATATTATGCATGCAATATGTTTTAATAAATCATATATAAAGCATAATATTTATCCTATAATAGTTTTTAATTAGTCTTAGTTGATAAACAAAGCAGCAACACATAGGCTAAAATGTTTTCACATTAGTAGTTGACTTTTTTCCCATTATTGTTCACATGTCATTCTTTGCAATTTTGTAAATTATTTTGTACTTGTTAATGTTTTCGCTTGTTTTCCACATTTTGGTTCTTGCAGAGAAAGAGCCTAAATCTCAGTCCACCTGAATTGCAGCTAAAAATAGTAACTGTTCATAATCTAAGTTATATTTTACCAGCACTCATATATCTCAATTTACAAATATGAGTCTGTAATATGAATTTTTAGGAGTATTACTGAGTTCCAATAACAACATTTATAGAAAACATAGTGAAACTTAATGTAAATTTGGAAAAAGTTATTCCATAGGGTTATTTTACTTTTTTATGGGATAAATAATTATCAGCTATCAGTTACCAAACATATGAAGAAAAATTTATGTTCATTTATGGAATTTTAATGAGTATACAATTTGTTTTTCATAAGTCATTTATTTGTGATCATTCTTGTTAGTTCTGTAAGTGAAGTTAAATATATAAATATAGAATTTATTTTCTATTGTTTTATGTCTATGTGAGTGCTATTTTTGTTTTCTTTTGATATGCACAATTAATAATTTATTTTTAAAGAAAATTTTTCATATTTCACATGCTATTTGGAAATTAGTAAAATTCTCCTTTATTTTATTTTACTTCAAGAATAGATTTCTGCTTGCAGATTTGTATATGTGTTTGTCTTTAAATTTTAAGGTATATTTTTATCTTATATCCATTTTACTCATTCAATTGTATTTGATCTATATGTAATATATGCATTATTATTTAACAGTTCATTTTAATATTGTGTGTAGATTTTCTTTAAACTAACCCGCTTCAATAAAAATTTTAATTATGTATTACAAGTGCAATGGATGTTTATGACCTTTATAATGAAGTATTCTAATGGTCAAGGCTGCTATGTTGGAAGAGCTGTTGAACACGGTTTTATTTTTGCTTCTAGACTGTTGCAGTGACCTGCTTTGTAATATTTTCATTTTTTGTGTTCCTCTATAGAGGTCCTTCTGTAGCGCCATGGTAGAAGAACTGAGGATGTCCCTAAAGTGCCAACGTCGGTTAAAACACAAGCCACAGGCACCAGTTATTGTGAAGACAGAAGAAGTTATCAACATGCACACATTTAACGACAGAAGGTTGCCAGGTAAAGAAACCATGGCATAAAGCTGGGAGGCCAAATACCCAAGCACAAACTGTCGTCTTTTTTCCAAACAATTTAGCGAGAATGTTTCCTGTGGAAATATGCAACCTGTGCAAAATAAAATGAGTTACCTCATGCCGCTGTGTCTATGAACTAGAGACTCTGTGATCTAAGCAATTGCAATGATCAGACTTGATTTACAAGCATCATGGATCAACCAAGTTACACGGGGTTACACTGTTTATCATGGGTCCTCCCTTCTGAGTGAATGTTACATACACATTTTGTGGCTGGTTTCAAATGCAGTCCAATCAGAAATTACAGGTTCCTCTAGAAGTCCAACTGTTGCCAAGAGATGGAATATCAATGCCCTAAGGGTAAACAGTACAAAAATTTATTATGAATAAAAATACTTGGAATCAGCAAAAACTGTTGTGTTGCAAGAAACAGTACAGTCTTCTGAACACCCAGAATATAGAGTTGGTTGTGTAAGAAGCCCCAAACTATTCAGTATAATGATTATCTGAATAGATGGTGTGTTACAGGATGTGAAAAGAATGTATTGCAAAACCAAATCTGAATTTCATGGCTAGTGGAATGCAAAACAGATCTTCATCAGTGTTTTCTTTTCTTTTTGACAGTTGGTGTCACTGATTGAGATATAGATATCAATTTTCCAAGGCAATAATGTTTTTTCTTAAATTCACCTAGGCAGGATATTTAACATGCAACTCTACCATTCTCTCCCTAACCCCCACCCTAGCAACCTTCAACCTTCCTCAAACCCACACCAAGAGTACAAAAGCAGCAGTTGGTTCAGAATCTGAATTCAAAAGAATGATGTTTTGCAATCTTTGTCTCAAATTGTAAAAGAGAGCTGAGTATTGATGGCTGTGTGGAAGACTAAAGCTTTCATTTTAACATTCAGTTATGTTAATCTAAGCCCTCGGTCCTGCTGTAAATGAACTTGATGGAGCCTAGGCAAATATCGGTGAAAGGAGAAAGGGGACTGGTCATTCATAGAAAGCTCTGTGCAGAGAACTTTGAAGTGGACTGCATTTATTGATAGTCACAATGTTAAATGAACAAAATTCTTGAGCAGTTTTTTTTTCCAAAAAAAAATGTTCAGGTTTATTTGTGGAAATGCAAGATTTCTATGAAAATAGTTTTTGTATGGAATTTTTGTAATACTTTTTATCAACAAAATAAGAACATGTGTTCCGGTCAGGGGTGTGATGTCAAGCATGAATGGTAGTGCGTGTGCACCACCAACGTTTGGTGAAAACTATTTTTATCAAGAAAAAGGAGTCATAGAAGAGAAATATTTTCAAGTTAGATAATATAAAAGCTAGGTGCACTACCACCACTGCTTACCATGCCACACCCCTGATTTCCACAAGGCTGATAACATACTGTAATGAACAATTGTGTGTAAAATGGTAAAAGACGCAGACCTCTTGACAACATTGTGATAACAGTTGAGTGCACACAGTTTGCTGTTTGAATCCAATGCACAAAAGTTATTAAAAAAAACATTAAAATTATGTCCATTTTACTTTCAGCTTTGACTTTCATTTTTCTCTTGTGTGTATAAATAAATGCACAATATGCATTAAGGGAAGTCCACTTCCTGAATCATTCTAAAATATCAAAAATGTCCACTTCCTATCACTTGGAGTAAAAGAAAAGTACTCACAAGAAGAACACTCAGATGTACAAAAAACTGGCATACATAATGTAATTTCAACATTTAGGGCAGTTTAAATGAGCAATCTAAGATTTCCAAGAGTAGCAGTTATAATCTTACCATTTCAATGAATGAACATCAATAGTTTTCACAGGGTTGTATATGACTATATAGTAATTTTTGTAGATGTAAATATATTTGTATACATCTATGTGTAGTTCAACTCATATTCAACTTAATTCTTTCTGTGTATTTTAAATTTGTTCAAAAGAACAACATCATAACTAATTGCTCAATTTTAAAAAGTAGTTATGGTGTGATTTACCTATTAGTATTATAACATACTTTTTAAAATCACAAGTTATTACATATTTTCTAAACAGAAATATTTTTAATTAGAAATTATGACCAAAAACTGGAATAAAAAATCTTAAGAATGTTTCAAATTCATAAGAGCTACAAAATTAAGTTACTGCTAGTTAAATTTAAATATAAAGTCACAGGGCTGGAAAACACTGCTGACTGAGTTTGATCCCTGACACCTCATGTGGTCCTCTGAGCTTTCCAGGAATGATACCTAAGAATAGAGTCAGGAATAATTACTATGCACCCCTGTGGTCCCAAAACTTAATTTATTAATTGAAAACAGGAAAGGCCCAGGTGTCTTCAGATATCTTTTTTTCAAGGAAATTTTAAATTAAAATTCATATTCGAATAATAGCTTTATACCTAAATTTAGTTTTAGATTAATTTTAAATAACACTAACCAATGCATAAGATCTCAGTATTTTGTTCAATACTAAATAGTCTAAAATAACATCTTTAAAATACTTATATTCTGTCCATCATTAAGCTTTTATATTAAATAGAGTCTAACCAGATTTTAAGGATCTTTTAAAAATTCACTTCTCAATTAAATTAAACTTTAAATAATAAAAGAGAACTAATTTATATTTCAATTAGTCAGAAAATAATTATTTTTATTTTGGGTAAAATTTGGCATTATTTTCTCAGGTGTTAAATTTGAAAAGTTAAATATCTGCTCTTTTGACTTTAGAATATATAAAATATATTTTTAAACCCATTTTTTAAAAGGTTTTTACAGTTTAAAGAGTAGATTTTTTTCTGTGCTCATTACATATTTAAAGTATGCATAATATGCAGTTGACATTCTAACAAAATTTTTGACTATTGAAGATTAACTTCAAACAATTGGAGAGTCATTTTTCATTGGGAAGACAATATGTTGATATAAACATAATTTAAATGTGGATAAGACAAAAAGAACTCTTCTAGTCAGCAACACCATCTGATAAAGACACATATGCCTCAAATAAATTATTCTAACTACTCTGCGAACACTAATTGACTGCATTCTCTTCTGCCATAACTCAATAATCCTTATTAGAATGAAACACCAAGGACTAATATTTATCATAACTAAATTTAAACCACTATAAGAACACCAAAGAGATCAAGTCACATATATCGTGGGTAAATAATCCTAATAACTACGAGAATACCAAGATAAAATTTTCATGTATTTGAAGCAGAATAACCCCAACCATATACCACTAAGGGAACTTGATTTCACACATATGTAAAATGGATAATCTATTCATGATATTTTAAAAATATTTGCAACTCAGTTATGTTCTTTAAAAATGTATATTGTATTATTGAATAAGTGTATAAGAGAACTAATTGTTTTAAATTATTTTAGTAGAAAAATTTTGGACATATGTTTATTATAAAATACATTCTGAAAATTATACATATGCAAGGGCATCTGGCTGTTCTGTAGACTAGTAATTTTTTCCTAAGGATATTTCACCATCTCCAATTTTAGGATACTTTCATAAAGAGAACAGAATGCTCACTTGTTAAAAGAATAAGTCATGAAAAACATAAGACTTTGATTTAGTGTCTGATTAGAAAAGTATGAGTAAAAGTAAAGGCCAGACTCCCCTGGAATTTTTTTCTCGGATTTAAAGATGATACAATGGCAGCAAGGTATTGAACCCTGTTAATCCTGCTGCATCAGTAATTCAAGTCATACTGCTCCAATGTCTTGTATTTGCAGAGCAAGTATTTAGTATGAAATTTTATTTTACTCTTGATTTCTTGGGACCCCCACAGTCTGTTCATATAATTGCCTGTATTGTTGAGTCTCATGTTTGTTGCCTCTAACATTTCCTCTCTTGTGAAAAACACTGGAGGGGTGCATAATTGGGGTGTTTAGGTCTTCACTCCCGATTCTGTGTTCAGGGGATCAATTGCAATATTGATGGAACCAGCAACAGCTTAAAGAAAGGCAAGCATCCTACCTAGTGTCCTAGTTTTTCAGCCTCTTTTGTTTGTTTCATTTAATTTTTGTGACTTTTAGAGAAGACTGCATGAGACCTTGATCTTTTGAGAGAATTCCTTCTAGAAAACACCAGCTTCTGAGGTTGCTTTTTAAATTTTTTTGTTTGAATTTTAATTTTCATATTAGATATCATTTACAGATGTTTGCTATTAGGAACATGTTGGTTCAGAAAAGAGATAAACATCTCATTTGAAAAGCTTTCCTTTTATTTTTTTGCAGTGTTAGAGAACAAACCCAGGGCCTCAGGCGTGCAAGGCAAATGCTCTGCCACTGAGCCAATGTTCCTGGGATCTTTAGGTGTACAGCAGAATCAGGGGGAATATCTATATTGGTAGACTGATCTGTAAAGGCTATTTCTGATGAAAACTTTAAAGCGTGTTTATCTTTGAATTTTTCATGTTTACCTACTAGATTTCATTGAGAAGCATCCTCTACTTTTGAGCTCAGTTTTGTTTTTTGTTTTGTGTCTTTTGAGAATAATTCTCTTTCACTTTTCTGAATTTCTAGAAGATAGATACTCAAGAATACAGAGGAGCGAAGATAATGCAAGGATCTACTCTTCTATGCATTAATAAATCCTTATTTTATTCCTTCTTTTTTTACTATTTATGAATGATATAAAGCTCATTCGTTGACTTAAAGAATCAAGATCTAATATTGTTCTGTTTTTATATACTTATCTTTTGAAAATCTTAGTTAACTACAATTTGTTTATAAACTTTAGTAAAATTTTGCCTCTTATTTTCCCTGTACTTGTAGTCCTCTGCATTAAAAAATAATCTTTGCTGTAATTTTATGATTGAATAAGGAGCAAACTCAGATTCATGTATTCAGTTCTTTAATCTGTCTTGAAAGGAAACAAACAAAAAAAAACAACTTTTCTTAAAGAATATAGGCTATAGGCAGAAATTCAGTGGAGGTAGAAAAACAAACAAACAAACAAGCTTAAAACCCAGAACTTTTCTGGTTTAAATAAAGTAAAAACAGAGCCAATTTTGCCCTTATGGTTGCATAAAATACTGTCAAAGTTTGTTTCTTACCAAATAAATTTTCTCTTTCTTAAAAAGGATTACCTTGAAA